AAAAAAAAAAAAAAAAAAAAGAAAGTGAATCTGAACTACAGCCCAGTGGTTCTCAATCCTGTTTGAACATCAAAATCACTCAGGAGTTAAGAAAAAGAAACCAAACAGATCCCTGTGGGCTGCTCCCTAGAAGACTAATTCAGCAGGAGCCGGAGGTGGGGCCTTGGAATCTGTCATTTTATCAGTTCCCAGGCGATTCTGATTTGCAGCCAAGGTCGAGAACAAGGGCTGCAGCTAAATACCACTTTTCTGCTTATAATTCATGAAGAAAGCCTCTGCTCTGGTTAGATATGGCAGCAGGAGTCTGTGGGGCCTGAGGCTCTCACTGTCCCCAAAGCCTGGGCTCTAGCTTATTTGCTTTAATTCAGTTGTGGATGGTCTGTCCCCGTCTGGAACATTCCTGCCGGGCTTTGCTGGAAGCAGCCGCCTTGCCAATCTCTTGAGTGTGCCTCTTTGCCGGCTGACTGGGGCAAGGGGCAGGGTGTTGAGACCAATGTCCACCACATTGCTTGGGAGAAATGCTGCACCTCACGTACATTCTCAGCTGTGTGTCACTACCTTGTGGCCAGATGCTTATCTTAGTAGTCAGCAGAGGTAGGTCAGGGAGTTGCGAGGAAAATGCTCCTCAGAGCTTGAGGACGTAAGCAATGGGACCAGGCAGAGGCTAGGCTGGAACCTCTGTTTGGGCCAGAAGCGTTGCTAGGAGCTGCCGTGCCCTCTGGGGCCTGAGTGGGGACGGTGGCAGGCTGGCTTCCAGACGGGAGGCTGGTTTTCTCACTTCCTGAGTTGGAATTTGCTGCTCAGCAAAAGGAAGCTGGCCCTGTATCTTGCCCTGTTCCCAGATGATATCTCGAGGGAGTTACTCCAGAGTGCAGATTGGGACATGTGGCCTTTACCCCAGATTTTATCACTGATCAGCCCTGGCCATCCACCTCACTGCCTGTCAGGGTAGAAATGGGTCGGTCACCTTTCGCTCAGCAAAGACTATAAACTTGTGTAAAGTGGCAGAGTCTCTGGTGAGACCCTTGTCCCATGGAAAGAGAATGAGGTTAGGTCAAGAGCAAGAGCTGACAACACCCCAGAGTTTGAGGGAGACCAGGAAGAGGCCTGAAGTAGTCAAGCAGTTGGCCACAGGACAATGACATGACTCTCTGACAGAAGTTTGGCTTGGTCAGTGAGGTGAGATTGAGGGCCAAGAACTTCATGCAGATGGAGACTGGCACATCCTGAGAGAAAACTAGAGAGCTGGTTCTGGGAGACCCCGCCAGACGTCTGAGGGATGGGCAGAGTCATAAATCTCGACATTTGTCGTGAGGGCAGCTGGCGGAGAAAATGAGTTTTTGAAGAAAATAGAAACTAATGGAGAAAGAGAGCATCAGACTCTGCCTTGATAAATTCTACCTTCCCCAGAGACCCTAAGGTGTCCCTGTCAAAGCCACAAATGAATCCAGGTTAGTGGGTTTTGGTGACACTCTTCATAGCCAACTTTGGTCACAGTCTTGTGGCCTTGGCAGTTGGAATGTTGCAAGCGTCTAAGACAGTCAGAATGTCAGAAAAGAGGTGTCCTTTCGTTCAGCAGCAGATTTCTTCAGTATAAGAATATTTCAATTCCTGATGGGCTTCCTGCAAAGTGGTTTAAAAAGTGTGCTATTTGGGGGTACCTGGGTGGCTCAGTCTGATTCTTGACTTCAGCTCAGGTCATGATCTCACAGTTTGTGAGATCGAGCCCCAGATCAGGCTCTGCACTGACACCATGGAGCCTACTTGGAATTCTCGCTCTCTCTCTCTCTCTCTCTCAAAATAAATAAATAACCATTTAAAAAAATGTTTGTAAAAATGTTTGTTACTTGTTCTCACTTCACTCAGCCGCTCCCTACCATAGGTCTCTGGATGTTACAAGCTGTGGACCTCTGGATCCCCAAGGACTGCGTTCACGGCCCAGGAAGTAGCAGCTGCCTCTGGACAACCTCCCAGGCACCTTCACTGATAGGGGCATGGGCACCCGTGATGCTGTCCCCCCAGGTACGGGGCTGCACTCTGCCTGGGAGATGTAGCCAGGCAGGTGGCCATGCCTTCCTGCCCTTGCCCAAGGCTCTCTGCCGGCTGTGCTGGCTCTCCATACTCAGCTTCTTGTCTGGGGCCTCCCTAGCCTAGGGAAAGGCTCGGAGTGTTCTAGAAACTTGTCTGGGCTTTGCCTCCACTCTGTGCTGGTGGGCTGGCTGAGGAGCTGACCTGTTTTGTGGAGGGAGCACGTGGATGGCCAGAGGACATGTGGCTGGGCCTCAGGGTGTCTCTGTCTCCTCAGCTGACAGGGCGGGATAATGGGAACAGTGTGCCCAGCTCAGCGTCAAGAGATGGGGTTCCAGACCTACTGGATGAGCCTCAGTTTCCTTTGGAGGGTGAAGGGATCTATAGGTCCTGCCATGGGTGGAAGGGGTGCTGGTGAGGTGGAGAGCTGCTTTTCCCTCGGGAGGGGGGGTTGGAACAGGGGCCCTGTGATGACTTGAGAGGAGTGTAGAGGACCCCAGAATGTCAGAGTAGTTCAGGGAATAGGTCATGACCTAGGGGCAGAGCACCCTGGGACTTTGCTATATTAATGAGAAAACAAATGCGTAATTTAGTGCCACTTTCAGATCCTGTCGGACATTAGATTCTCGTGGGGAAGTGGGAAGTACTGAAAACTTAAGAAAAACCTAGAAATCTAGAAATAGAATGAAGATGTGACTATGTGAACCCATAGTCCTTTCTAACTCCTTTGTTTTACCAACCTGGGGACTGAGACTCAGGCTAACTTATTTCCTCAAGGTCACACAGCAGACAGAAACAGGAAGGGAACAGACGCCCGACTCCCGGTCCTGTGACCTTCCACCCTGGGGGTGGGTATGCTGGGTTGTGGTGGGTTAGGGCCCCCTGGATGGTCCTGAGATGTGCCTAGGAGGAGTCATGGAGGCATAGGACTAATGATTCAGCTTGCGGACATTTAAGCTCCTCCTGAGTGCAGGTCCTCGAAAGATGAATAGGACATGATCCCTGTGCCTGAGTGCGGCAGGGCTGGGAGGGGAGAGGCAAAGAGAGGGGAAGGTAAGATGGGGCATGCCTGGGCTACTGTGGGGGCACAGAGGGGAGGCAAGGCTTCTCAAAGTACTGGGTGCTCAGTTGAGGCTCCCCCTCTTCGCTTCCTGCGTCTCTGCTCAGGGCCCCTCTCCTTGGGCTCCCAATCCCACACTGTCACTGCTTGTTACTCATTGTCTCCCCCACCTGCCTTCGGGCCTTGCCCAGGACTGTATCACCAGGGACTGGGGGACAGAGTCCCTGACAGACAGCGTTTGATGAATATCCGCAGTAGGGATCAATCAAATCAATTTGCTGAGTTGGGGAGGTTTAGGAGAAGATGCAGGGTCAGTGCAGGATGAGGTGCTGGAGGACTCCCAGGCGAGGGTTGTTGAGCAGGTAATTGGATGCTCTGCCCTGCCACTGTGGGGAGAGGTCAGGGCCAAAGCCACAGGTCAGGGGGTTACCACATGAGGGTGACAATTAAAGGCGTGGCGCTGAGGAGCGGCTCATGAAAGCAGCTAGTGTGAGATGTGCAGTGGACAGAGGCAGGGCAGGGGTGTGGAGGAGGGGAGCTCTGAAGGAGGCTAAGAAGGTATGGAGTGGTTGGGTGGGGCTGGGGAGCTGGAGCAAAGCTGGATGGAGAAGACAGGTGAGTGTGAGAAGTGGGGATCCAGGGCTGGGAAGAGTGGGGTGGTGGGCTTTGGTGGGGATCGTGGTACCGCGGCCGGCTGGGGGTGGGGTGGCGGGTCCCCCTTTGTGGACCAGGCTCTGGTTTGGGGGAAGGGCCACAGAGACCCCCAGGGGCAGAGTGCTCCAACAGTCTGTTCCCCAGTCCTGGACTCGGTGCACGCTAAGGTGACGCTCTTCCCATGCTTCTGTCCCCAGCCAAGGTTCTGGCCCCCGTGGCCGTGTACCGTGGGAGTGTCCCTCGGACCAGTGCCGGGCCCCACGCACTTCCGGGCGGAAGCAGTGACTCCAGGCTTCGGACTTATGGAGAAGGTGAGGTTGGGGGACTTGGCCTGTTGACTCGGTCACACCAGATGGCCTTCCAGTGCCCTGAGTGGCCTCTCTGGGGACTTGGGGCAGAGAACTGGAGTTCCACCAGCAGCTGCCTGATGAGGACCAGTGACCAGAGAGCAGGGCGTGGGCCTCATCCTGGAGAGAGGACAGGAGTTTGTTTGGATGTCTGGCTGTGTCCTCCAGCTACTGGCAGAGGCTGTCTTTACTGTGGTCCCTGCTGCAGATGCCCCTTGGCTTTAGGTGGATCCTTTAATTCTGTGCTTCCGAGGATGAGGTGCACAGAGAGGGGTCCACAGGAACAAGGAAGTGGGGATCTCAGCATGTCCCTCACTCTCCTCAGGACCCAAGGAGAATCCATGTGCCCCGGAAAGACCGGGTCCGCTGTCCCCTGGGTGGGCATTCAGCATGCAGGGCGGTAGTGGGGAGGTGGACACCTCTAGAGGGACAGAAGCTGGAGCGGTGATTTTCAGGACACTCATTCAGATTCCTGGCCACTTTCTGCTCTAACTTCCAGCTGCAGACCCCCCTTCTCTGCAGAGCTCCTGTCCCAGGGTTCTAGATGGAAAGCTAGCTTGTTCCGGTTACCTGCCCTCTTTCAGGCTAGTCCCCTCACACGCCTGTGGCTGGCACCGACTTCAGCTTTTGCTGGGTCTGGTGCTGTCCAGTATCTGTGGCTTCTTCTGTGGGTCTCGTGGCTTATGTCAAGGCACTCCAAAAAATTGTTCTGTGTGGGGCAGAGATTCCAAAAGCTGGTCTCTGTTTGTTCTCCCTGTCCCTTCCACGGTCTAAGCTCCTTCAGGGCCCAGTTCAGACATCACCACTTCGTGAAGGTTTTCCAGATCCCTCTCCTCCTCCTCTATATGCACAAAGCATTTTATTGATACCACCCTTATGGCACATATCACATTTTACCTTGTAATGAACCCATTTAGGGACAAATCTTATTTCTGTAATGGATTGCAAGTCTTTCAGTGATAAAGCTGTGCCTCACACATCTCTGTGCCTCCACTGACTGGACAGTGCTTGGCAAATACTAGACGCTCGCTGAGTGTTTGTTGGGTGAGTCGTTGGATAACCTGGAGTCTGCACGGAAGCACGATCTGTCCTGAGTCACCTCAACTTCTCTTTTCAATCTGCATTTGGTATCGTCAGGTATATCGAGTGTATTGGTTGGGATCCTGGAGATTGCCGGATGGTGGTCCCTGGGCAGAAGGCCAACCCTAAGTATTTGTGGCCTCACATCTGTGCTGTGAAAGGGCTGTGTAGCGAGTCCCCTTTTCTTCTCTTGAGTAGCTCATGACCCAGGTCTTCACGGGTACTGTTGGATGAATGAACTGACCCAAGGAGTGACAGTAACATTGAATGATCGGGAGCACGGGACAAGTCCTGACTGTTCCAAGGAAGCAGCACCAAAGGTTTTGCTGGTACCTGGTGCCGCCTTGGGCTCTGTGTGCCAAGCCTCTCCTGCTTCTATCTCCCCCAGCGTCCCTCCAGCCAGCTCCGAGGGTCTTGCAAGAGGAGCCGTTGCAGCCCTTGAGTGGACAAGTGGATCCTGGCAACCTCAAGCTGGATGCCCCTCCAAAGGGATGGCAGGCCAGGAATGGCCACCCCAGGAACATTGCTGCCTTATCTGTGGGGCCCAACCACCCGGCACCCTTTTTGGAGTCTGAGGCCAACAGTGTGGCCCGGGACACCACCCAGATCAAGGACAAGCTCAAGAAAAGGAGGCTCTCAGAGGGCTTGGCATCATCTTCCCAAGGTGAGCCCCAGGCCCTGCCCACCTGCCACCCACCCACCCTGAGGCGAGGGACACCAGGCTACCTGGCCGTGAGGATCAGTAGGTATCTAGCTGGCAGCCGGGTTCTCTCCAAGCTGCTCAGAGTGAACCCACCAAGAGCCCTGTCAGCCATCTACGGGGGAATGCCTGGGCCCTGCAGCTGTCTCCCAACTAACTTCCCCATTCTCTCCCTTGCCTCCTTCTAGTCTTCTCTCCAGAGGCATCCTTTTAATTAACTAATTAACTAATTTCCAAGTCATACAGCTTCTGGAATTGCCAGACCAGTGACTCTCTCCCTGAGAGGTCTGAAGTCTTTTTTCTAGACGTGTCATGTCTTTTCACAAAGGTCTAGTGGAGGAGAAAAAGAACAGGAGCTGTGCAATGTGCAGATAGGAAGTGATCTTGATTGATCAGGTCCCTCGGCAAGTGTGGCGGGACAGGGATCTCTGGTACCCTGAGTGGGGCTGGGGCTGCCCTCACCACTCTGAGTTGGGGCTGCATTGGCCTCTCTGCACCACTGCCCAGGTGGGGCCCAAGGTGGGCATGCTGGTGGTGACGTCCCCACCTGGGTTGTGACCCCTCCTCACCTCCCTCGCCGCACCAAACTGATGATAGGGCAGGGCGGAGCCGGGCTGGGCAGGGTTGCGGAGAAGATATTTTGACTTGGTTGTTTTGATGCAACCACTTTGGAACAAGGAGCTGGAACAAGATGGCCCTCGAAAGTTCAGTGCTAAGTATTTTCACCACCGCCAAAAAATTTGCAAAGACCATCCTGAGCTCCTTACTGTAGGGATGGCAGGGGGTGGGGCAAAGCGCAGTGAAGATGTCTGCCGGACGCATGAGGTACTAATAACAGAGCTGCAAGTGTGGTGGTCTGCTTTTAGACTAGGTCAGGATGCCCCCTGTGTCAGAACAGCTACGCTTCCACATCATTAGCTGAAAAGGAAGGGGAAACAGAAGTAAGTTATGGGCCAGGTACTTTCTTGGCATTTTATGTAAGTTACGTCACTGAATGTTTGGACAACCCCGTGATGTGACTACTTTCATCTTACAGAAGAGCAAATGGGGAGTCAGAGATGTACCCAAGGTCACACAGCTTCTAGCCAGGACGGGACCCCACTCTCCTCACCCCTAGTCTAGTACTGGTAGATTTCCCTTCCTGCCTAGCCTGCCTCTGAATTTTGTTTTATTAAAAAAAAAATGTTTATTTATGTATTTTGAGAGAGAGAGGGAGAGAGAGAGAGGGAGGGAGAACACATGCAAGCTGGGGAGGGGCAGAGAGAGCGAGAGAGAGGGGAGAGAGAGAATCCCAAGCAGGCTCCTCACTGTCAGCACAGAGCCCAAAGTTGGGCTTGAACTCACAAACTGTGAGATCATGACCTGAGCTGAAATCAAGAGTTGGACACTTAACTGACTGAGCCACCCAGGCACCCCTGCCTCTGAATTTTAAATAGGTGACTTGGGCCCTTTCTACCAAATTTCATAGGAGGGGGAGCAGGCCCTCCGCACCGTCGGCTTGCTAGGCCTGGTGGCGGGGCGGTCCGGGTGGATCTCCTTCTGTCCCTGGCCTGGCCTTCCATCCCTGTTGCCAGTATCTGAACTGTCCCCCAGCCCGTGCTCCCGGGACTAACTTATTCCTCATCCTTATCCCACAGTCTCTCTGGATCCTTTGGGAGGCCCCAGAGGAGTTCCTCTGAGGAGCTTCATCCCCCGGGCCACCTCTCAGAGGCTGCTGAGGGTGCCCAAGCCGATGCCCCCCATCCAGAGCATCCCCACCACCCCTGAGGCTGGCGGAGCCAAGGAGAATGGCCTGGATCTGCCCGGGAGCAGCCAGGGTCCCCAGGAGCTGAGACCCGGAGCCCAGGAGGTGAGGTGATCCAACTGCTCTGAGTTTTACCTCTCGGTCCTTCTGCCTTTCTTTCCATTCTTTACTACCCCTGGTTCCTGAGCCTCTAGCTTCTCAGACAGTGTCTGAGGGGCCACCCTCAAGGATGGGGCTCTGGGTCCTCATTTCGTCTTTCCGGCAGCATCCCAAACCTTCATGGCCAGCCTGTGAGCTTTGGCTGGCTGCCCCAGAGCTGTGTGACCACCAGTCCTACGGTTGGTGGTCCCTAGGCCTTCTCTGGTCTATATGTTCCAGAATTCCTCATGCTTCTGACCCTCCCTGTTATAGGCTGAGGGGCAAGAAGGCTGGGCTAAAATTCAGGAGACTTGGTCTATATGTTCCAGAATTCCTCATGCTTCTGACCCTCCCCATTATAGGCTGAGGGGCAAGAAGTCTGGGCTAAAATTCAGGAGACTTGGGCTCTGATTTCCACTCTGCCCCTCACGGGCTGTGTGACCTTGGGCCAGTCACCCTTCTCTCTGGGTCTGTTTTGCATATCTATAAAAAGGAGGTACTGGACCAGATGTTCTTGAAGACTGCTTTCAGCATTGATGTTCTAGGATTTCCTCAAATGACAAGAAGAGAAAAATAAATAACAAAAAGGAAGTAGGGATGAGGGGGACCCCTGGCCAGTCTCCTGTCTTGGAGTGGTAAGGAAGCGCTGAGCTTTCTGGGGAGTTCTAGGGGTGTGTGGCTGCAGAGAGAAACCAGAGGACACTTCCCAGCACTGCCTGCCACCCCACGTGGCTCCTGACAAAAGGGACCGCCCTGTATGAGGGGCCTGGGATGTGAGCATCCAGACCCTTTCCCCCAACCTCCATTCTCAGGTGCAGATCTCCAGGCACTACCTGCACTGCAAGGATGAGAAGATGCACAAGTCACTGGGGGGTCTTGTGATCCCGCCCATCCCAAAGGCCGGGGTGCCCGCTGGGACCCCCTCCGGTGCACCTGGCTCCCTTCCCCGCCTCCTGCCTCCAGGCCAGGATGTCCTCACGGGCCTGAGGGTCCCCCGCACACGGTAAGCTGCCCTAAGTCACAACTGCCTTGTAGTCCTCTCTCCAATCCCTCCAAGATCCGCTGAACCTCCACTCCAGCGCAGGTCTGGGGCACCCGGGGTGTGAAGGGCCTGGCTCTCCCATGAGCCACAGACCTGAGGAGGCCAAGGCGAGCTGGGTGGTCTGGGCTTAGGAGACAATGTCTCAGCCTCCGTCTTCCACCAGTTTCTTATCTGTGGCTGCTGTGGTGATGAATAAAATACAAGCTGTATTCATGGTAGCATATATTTTCTTCATTAACGGATGCTACAATTACAAGCTTTATCATGTGTGTGTGTATGGAAGCAGGAGGGAGAGGTCCACAAAATTTTAGATTTTACAAGGGGTCTTCAGACTCGAAAATGTTTGGGAACTGATGGGGTAGAGGGTTGCTGTGTTGTTAATGAGTCCACATTTATGGCTCATAAGTGGGACAGACGGATCTCTTCAGATGGCCTAGAACATCTCCATGGGCAGGTCAGACTAATGTCAGAGCAAGTGTGTGTGTGTGTGTGTGTGTGTGTGTGTGTGTGTGTGTGCGCGCGCGCATGTGCACATGCGTGAGAGAGACAGATACAGTGGCAGAGACAGAGAGACAAGAGTGAGAGGGAGAAAGGCCTCATTTCCTGCATAGCTTTGGGGCATGCTGTACTGAATTTTCCCATTTCTCTCATGCGTCCTCACCTCTCCATCTCCTATGCTGCCTTCCCTTCTGTCTGTATACATGTCTGCCTCCTTCTCAACCCTGGAGGAGTGTGGGCCTGCTCCTGGATTGGAGCTCCATCAACCTCTACTTCCTCACATTAGGCCCCTCCTCCTTTCTGCTCAAACGTCTACTCCTTCCTTCCCTCAAAGCCGTTCCTGGGGGCTGGAAGGACTTTCTAGCCCCAGACCAGTGACCTTTACGCCCATCTCATTGCTCTTGACTTCACATCACGTGGGGCGTTGATGTCCTTGGAGTCTTCTCCTTCCTTGCCTTCCTGACTTTGAAACCTGCTTCTTGACCTTCTGTGACAAGACCTTCCAGACAGTCTCCCCTGTGCTCTCCTTTGTCCATCTCTTAAACATGGCCATTCCTGAAGCTTGTTCCCACCCCTTTGTACCCATCTCCTCGTTCTCCCCTGGGGGAGTCTTGTCTGTGCTGGCAGCTTCCAGGGATGGGTGTCTTCCTCATGCCCTGCTCGGCCTTGAGGTCTCCCTCGAGTCGAGCTCTGGATTTCCATCCTCCTGTTGGGCAACTCCAGTCTTGTCATGTCAGAGAGAGGGAGGCTGTGCCTCCGTCCCAACCACACAGATGGGGCACCTCATGTTTCCCCAAACTGCCTCCCTCCCATGACCTCCCGATGTCCACTGAGGTGCAGGACTTCTCTTGCTTCTGCCTTTCTTCTCAGTTTTCACTCACTGGCTCCCTCTTGAGCTCCCTGACAGCTCTTAGCCTGGCTCCTGGCCCCCCTGGGCTCTGCATCCTAATCTATTCTCATCCACCGCCCTCTGTACCTTTCTTCCACACGATCCACATTTTTTGACTTCCTGTGCCAGCAGCCTAAAGTCGACTCTCCTTGGTCTGACATTCAAGCAGGCCCCCTGTGCTGCTCTGCAGGAACCTTCCCACCCCCAGACCCTCCAGAGCCCCGGGCGGCACCTCCCCAACCCTAACACCAGCCTTTCACTCTGCTTTCAGAGCCTGCTGTCCTTTAATCCCCGGTTCCATGCCTCTCCTTGTGCTAGTCTTCCCTGCCCTCCTCCAGGAGGTGATGGGGGAAGGGCATCCTCTGAGCTGTCCACACAGCAACCAGCCCACGGACTGCCTGACCACATCCCCTCCACTGATTTGTTCAACTTTTATTTAAACCTCATACCTATTCTTTAACTTGGGGCACTACAGGGCAGAGGCCATATCCAGAAACCTCTGCAGCTTCCATGGTGCCAAGCTTGGTCCCTGGCATGGATTATACACACACACAGATATTATAAATATCTGCTCATTTGCTGTCCAGTTATAGCATGGATTTTTCTCCATTAACTCTGTGAGGCTAGCAAATAGGTGGGAAGGAGCCTCCATTACCATTTCTTTCATTCATTTGCTTTTTCATCCATCCATCCATGCATTCATTTACTTAGCTAAGAGCTAGTAAGCACCTACTATGTGCCATGTGCTGTGGAAACAAAGCCAAACAAGACAGTCTCTGTGCTCTAGGAGCTCACGAGAGAGATTTACTAGTAACCTACTGAATCGAGGTCTAGTGAGGTAAGAATTAAGGTAGAAGGCTGCCCTTGGTTCTGGGGAGCCCAGTGGAAATTGATCTCGATTAGGCTAGGAAGCCTTCTTGGAGGAGGTGAGGCCTGAGCTGAGCTTTGAGGGCTGAAGGAGAGTTTGGGAGATGAAGAGGGAGAGATGGAGATGTTCACGGAACTGTCAGGGGTTTGCACGGCAGCACCGGTGTTTGTATGACACAGGCGGGTGAGGTTAGCAGGGTGGCGGGGCCCTGTGTGCGCAAGTGAGGACGGTGAGCTTTAGCCTGGAGAATGAGGTGCTGCTGAAGGCCTTTCGGTGTGGAAGTGCCATGAGATCTGAGTTAGAAAGGCCACTTTGACGACCACAGAGGGCGGTGCACACTGAGGCAGAGGCTGCTACGGGCAGTGCGGGGAGAAGCCGTGGGCGCCTGGCAGAGCAGAGGCAGTGGTCTGCGGTGTCTGGACCCAGCCTGGCCTGATGTGGTCTCCCGGTCAGCCTGCCCTTGACTTTGCAGATGGAGTTACGTCTCCTGCAGCTTTGAACTCCTAGCCAAGAGCCTCTTTACAGAGCCGCCCACAGCCCCTCTACTGTGTGCCCCGTCCCGCCCACTGCCCCATCCCGGGGCTACCGGACCCCTCACAGCAGGGGCTCCTTCTTGCCATCTCTCATAGTGTTTTTTCTTCCCTGTTCTTTTAAGATTGGTTCGGGAGAGTGGGCCTCGGGAGAAGACCCCTAAATCTCTGGGTATGTACCCCACCCCTGCGCACTCCCACTTGCTATCTATTCAACTCCCTGCCTCCTGGACCGGGTGTGGGGGCAGAACTGGGGTTCGAGTAGGCCTGAGCACGCTCGGACCCGAACCCCTCATTTCATGGATGGAGAAGCTGAAGTCACCGGCGGTGCCGCTTTGGGGACCAGTGGCCCTGTGCTATGCCCGGCATGTGGACCCACACCAGCTCATGAGCCAGCTGAGAGGGAAAGTGCAGACCCTGTGTGACAGAGGAGTGCATGCTCCGAGACTCTGCAAGCTGGGTTTTGTCCTCAGTCTCCTCACGGAGGTCTCAGTCCCCTCACGGAGGTCTCAGTCCCGGCTTATCTGCAAGCGGGTCCACATGGCTCCAAAGACGGAGCTTCTGACACGAGGGGCTGCCTCTGCACGGTTTTGAGCAAGTGGAGGAGAATACTCCTCACCAGACCGAGTGAGAAATTAAACCACATCCCGTGAACCCCTTAGTCAGCTGGCCCCAGAAGGTTTCAGCATCAGGGGAATATGGCCAACTGGGTGGCCAGTGAGAGTCCAAGGCGCAGAGAGGCTTCAGAAGAGGGAGCAGGAAGCTCTCTAGCCTTACTCTGTGACCTCACTCTGTGACCTCACTCTGTGGAGAGGAGGGAGGATGAGCCCTGGGCAGGTTGGGGGAGGGGATCCCCAAGCCCGGGGATGAGGGCTGGAGGCCACTGCTGTGCTGACCGGCAGGCGGGGGCAGACTCCTGGTCCAGCTTTCTGGCAGGCCACTCTGTATAGCTTAGCAGATGGGTCCACTGGCTAGGGGGAGGCTGTTGCCCAAGAAACCCCAGGGTCAGGACTCGAGCTGAGCCCGAGAGGCGGTCCTGGCATAGAAACTTCTGTGGTGGCTCTTTCCCCTGCTGCTCTCTGGCTGGGCTGCAGTGGGGTGACCTTGGGCAGTCTGCTGTGACAGCCACTGGCAACCACGGTGTCCCTCAACAACTACCCCTGAGGGTGCTGTCAGGGGGTTGGGCCAGGAGACCCCAGTTTGTAACCACTCCTTTGTCTGCATCGCAAGCTTGCTGCTTGAGAACCAGGTCCCCGGGGGCTTGGTAGCAGGGTCCAGGCTGCTCAGACAAGGCTTTTTAGGGCCTCTCTTGGAGGTGGAGGTGAGGAGAGGGGATGCCAAGTAGTAAAGTCCTTAAAGGGCCCTCTGACCCTCCAGTTGTCAGCTGGGGATAACATTGCCCAATACGTGTAACACGTCTACCACGTAGAAGGAGCTCGCATGGTATTGTCTGAAGCTGAGGGCTTCCCAAATTTTGTGGCATTCCTGCAGTCCTTGCCCTGGTTAGCTGGTACCTGGACATCTGTGTCCTCTGCCCTGTCCTTTACTTTTGGACAAATGGAGGCTTCATCCCTCCTCCATCTTGGCCCTTGATCCTTCTCCTGGGACGCAGGCAGAGGGATCCTTGGTAGGAGGCATGGGCTGGGCAGAGGTCCAGGGTAACCTGGGAGCCCTCCTGGAGGCCCCAGATTCAAGACACCCCTTCCAGCCTCAGGTGGCCCCAGATATTTAAGGTCCCCTTATTTGCAGGTTCACCCAAGGACAGTGAGCTCCAACCTTTGTGAACAGGAGAACCCAGTTAACATTTCTTTCATTAAAAGAAAACTAATCCACCCCTGTCTTGCCTCCATCACAAGACAACATACTTTTGAAATTCATTGATTAGGAAAATCTAGATTAACAAAGAGATACTAGTGATTTGATGTCATTTGGAAATCAGTTTGTATTGTATCAATCACAAGAGCATCTGAAGGTTGCTGGGTCTTAGCTTTTCTGTCTGTAAAATGAGAGGACTGGACTAGTATTGTTGGTTCTCTGGTCTCTTCATGTTTTGTGATGAGGGCACTCATTTTATTTTCTCTCTTCCTGAGGTGCACACCTCCCAGGTAAGACAGACGTGCATTCTCAGGAAATATCTTAAACTTCTTAGACAACAGACCTGCCCCCTGTTTTCTGCCCACACTTCCTCCCTCCCTTCCCTGTCTTATAATAAGGTATACAGTAACTATTGGATGGATGGATGGATGGATGGATGGATGGGTGGATGGATGAATGAAAGGAGGAGAACATTCTATGCCTGCCAGTGCTGTTCTGTAGAGTAAATTTAACCACAAGGAAGTACTGGGCAAAACAATGGAGAGAGGCAGTCTTAGGCAGTAAAATGTTACACCAACCACCGTGTCATAGGGCCCCAGGACAGCCCAAAGGGATGAATACTGCCTCAAGGTGCTGGGTGTCCTCAGCTGCACTCTTGTTCTTGACTCCTCAGAGCCAAAACCTTCGGCTCCACCTGCCAGAGACAGGTCTGCTGCCCCCGAGAAGGCTGCCCTGCCTTCATCTCACTCTGCTCCTATGATGACAACCTTCTCCTTCGGCCATGCCAAAGAAGCCCGCCTCTTGCTCAAAGAGGAAGACCAGAGGGAGAGCAGTACCAAGGTATCTGGAAAGTGAGGGGAGGAGAAAGTTGGGGTCAGAGCAGACCACTGGATGAACACAAGCATGTTTCTGAAGTACATAAAAGTGGGGCCAGCTTGAGGAGGGCAAGGAAGAGCCCTGAGGCAGCTACCCTGGTACTTAAGGCTGGAACCTATAGATGGTTAGGGGATCAGGACCGAAGAAAGGGAGAGAAACAGGAGAGAGGAAGAGAAGGGTGGGGGGGGGTGGCTAAGTGAAAGGCAGAGTACAGTGGGGATCTGAGGTGTGAGATGGGGGAGGAAGGGAGGGCAGAAGGAGGTCACACATGGTTCGGAAGGAAGCAGGATGTGGAGAGTACAGAGGGGCTTAGGTGAACCAAGTTGAGTAATTCGAACCAACACCCAATATAGCAACTGAGAGGCCGCTGACTCAGAGGCAGATCAGCCAAAGGCTGTGCTTGACAGGCTGACAAATACCTTGCACTTCTAAGGTGACCTTGGTCTAGATGATTCTCTTCCCTGGTCTGGATGAATTTACTACAACTTGAAGAGTCACTGTTATGGGAGATCCGTGCTCAGTCTTTGAAACAGAGATATAAAATACAAAAGGACTGCTGTGTGCGTGAGCTATGTTAGGATCCCGTGATGATGATGATGATGATAAGGTCCAGGTGCCACAGCTCTCCCACGCCAGCCAGGGCGCCAGGAATGAAATGAAGGCAAAATGATTCAGGGCCATGAGATGACCTCACCACCGACCCACCCTTGGCCACTCACACCCATGGTCAGACCTTGGGTCTCAAGATAACTTCATCCCCATGGGCACCTCGCTTTCCAGTGTCCCCATCTCCTGTTGTTCTGGCTTCGTCCATCCACAACCCAGCCCCAGCATTGCTCCCTGCTCTTGCGTCAACATCCTCCTTGAAATGGGACCACTCCCATCAGCATCTTAGCTCTCTGTTATTTCTGTATTCTTCGGAAAACCAGACTACTCCCTTGCCTGCACCCATTCTTTCCTGAGTCCACTGCAGTTGGGTTTAGGCCCCACTGACACTGCTCATGCTCAGGCCACCAGTGACCTCCACCTCCCATGTGCAGCACAGTCCAGTCCTCCTCTAACCTGACCCACCAGTGGCTTTCATGGCTTGTCCTTCTTGAAGTCTTCACCTTGGAGGGGAAGCAAGGGGGTGGTTTCCTTCTTGATTCTCTGCCTCCATCAGATTTCATTCCTTCCTGGTTCTTCTTGGCTGGCTCCTTCTCATCCTCCTGCCCTCTATACACTGGAGGCCCCAGAGCCCTGACCTCTGGCCTCTGGTCTATTTATATTGACCCCCTGTGACCTGATCCAGGCCAGGCATTAAGTGGCATCTATATGCTGAGGACTCCCAAATTTCTCTGTCTGGCCCAGACTTTCCCCTGACCTCCAGTAGCAGTTAAATTATATTACTAAGTGTGTATTCACTGATACTCTGCATTTCCATTTAGATATCTAATTATATTTCAAACTTACCTTATCCAAAACTCAACTGTTGAATCTTTACCACCCCCCTCCCCAAATCTCCTCTTCTCCCAGGGTCCCCTCTCAGCGAATGGCAGCCTTCCAGCTACAATGGCTGAAAATCTTGGGCCCATCCTTGCCTCTGCTCTTTCTCTGTCACCCCACACCTCATATATCAGCCAAAGTGGTGGGCCCTACTTTTGGGACATGTCCAGAATCAGGCCACTTTGTCATGTTCATTCTTGCTGTGCCAGTGCAAACCCCACCACATGTAAACTCTTGGTTCTATTTTGCAACTTCTTGTGAGTCTTAAGTTGTTCCTAAATATAAAGTTAAAAAAAAATAGTAACACTTAGGGGAACCCCCTCACCCCCCAGTGGAAGTCAGATCATGTCACTTTTTGTGCTCAGAACCTCAGCGGTTTGCTGTGTCCTTCAGAGGACAAGTTCAACTCCCCACCAAGGACCACGGCGACTGGTGCACGCCTGCCACCTTCCACCTGTGTCCTACCATCCTTTGATTGGGGTGGTCCAGCCAGTACCCTCACCCCAACCACACCCAGCACACTCCAGCCTCGGGGCTTTTGCACTCTATTCCCTCTGCTTAACACACTTCTCCCCTATTAATCTGCATGGCCCCGGTTCCCTTATCTCATTCCTGTCTCTGCTTAAATTTCACCTCCTCAGGGAGTCCCTCTGGGTCTTCCTACTTAAAATGGAAGCCCTATCACCCTCTGTCCCTTATTCTCCTTCTGGTACATATCACCTGATGTTCGAGATTGTTCTGTTTGCTGTCTCCCCACTCTATGGCAGCCTTTAGGGAGCAAGGTCTTGGTGGTTGTGTTCATTCCCGGTACAGTGATGGCACACAGAAGCCACTCACATTCCCAATGATTGAATAAATGAAGGTACAGAAAACACAGTTGGGTCCTCAGGGTAATGGAGTTTGCCTTGACCTTGTGCCAGATCCAGGTCACCATCTCCAAGTCTGCCCAGGAGAAGATGCGGCTGAGGCAGATGAAGGAGTTGGAGTTCCAGAGGGCACAGGAGCCGGAGAGGGAGAGGGAGCTTGCTTCCCAGAGCCTGGGCTCCCGGAGATCCCTGATGAAGGAAGGTACTGGGTGCCTAGGGCAGGATTCCCCTCAGGCTGGGGAGACCTCTTGGCCAACCCCTGGGCAAGAGAGGGACTACCCACAGCTCCCCATGTCCCCCAACCTCACACCAGACAGGGGGCCATGGATGGGCCCGTGTCCAGAGGAGGACACTGGGGCCGAGGACAGGCGGGACAAGCTCCATCCTAGGACTTTCTTTGCCTCCACAGGCCTCCTTCCCCTCCGGGGCAGTGGAACCTTGTCTGTGCCCACTGGGCTGAGCATCCCACGCAGAAACATGGGTGTCACCCTCAGGAAGCGGGCCAACCGGGCCTCATTACCCAGCATCCCTGTCAGCAAGCAGGAGCCCAGCTTTGCCCGCCATGCTTCAGGTAGGGGCCAGACTGACTGGCTGGGGGGCACACGTCCCACTCACTGTGCTGCCTCGGGATGCTCTGGGGGCACGACAAACGTGACCGGGACTGCTCTGCTTCTCCTCATTACCCACGTTAGAGTAGAGGGTGGCCTGAGGTGCAATCACCTTGCCAGAGAGAGAGGAATAGTGTGGGAGCCAGCCTGGAGACCCAGGGAATTGCAGCTGAATTACTGGGAGAAGGGCAGGTGTGTCCAGCCCACATGACTTGTCCTGGAGGGCTCACCAGTGCACCAGGACCACAGATCCTGTGGAAAGCACCCACGAGAGTAGCTGGAAACATCAGGAAGAGGAAGAGAGCGGTCTGTAAAGACCTTGGGTTCCTACACTTTGCCTCATGAAGTGTCAGTGTTGGATAGGGCTGGTTACAGCCTGCGATCTCAGGATCCAAAGGTTCTGTGGGATGCTCAGGAAGGTGCCAAGGGACAAAGGAGGCTCTGACCCCATTCTACCCGAGCAATACCTATTTTGCCTCACTTTTTTGTTTATTGCATAACCACTTGAGACTTCAAGTTTGAAAGATTTTCTACTAAAGAACATTGGAAAACAACCAGCCTGGTTCACAGTTTCTTTAAGTGGGGAGTGTGGTGGGACCATGGTGGTAGAATAGAACACCTTTTTGGTGCCAGAAATAATATTGACTCACCCTTCTTTTCCATTCTCTTTCTATCCCTCTGATTCTGTCAAGCAGAAAGTCTAAATTCGGTGCTGGTCTTTAGCATGCCTCGCAGACTTGGAATCTCCTTTTTAAACAAAGAGATCTTCCTTCCAGCTGGAGGCATCAGAAACTGGCTATAATTTGATAGCTGGAGTTTATATCATCCTTTTACTTTTCTTGCAAATATCCTATTCTATGACAAAATAATATTTGTTTACCAATTACAGCAGTGACATAAATCTCCCTTTAGAATAAACTTATTTAAGATTCAAAAAGTGGGTCAGCTTGAAGAAACATGCCATATGAATAAAATTATAGGTAATTAAGAGATATGACAAATAATCGTGAAAGTGGTAATTGAATGGTTGACACTCAGGAGATATTGATCTAGATAATCCACTCCATTCATTTTACAGACAACAGGACTGAGACCCAGAGACCCAAAGTCCCCTAAGTTGACTTTAGGTGATGGTGGCCCATAGGGACTAAGATTTTGGCTAATGACTCTTATCCAACACCAAAGCTGAGAGGAGAATCCAGTCTCTGAAAAGTCTCTGAAAAGAAGTAGCAAGGAAGTGAGGTGTGGCAGTGACAGCTCTGGGTTCAGAGCAGACCCTCTTGTCATGGCTCCGTGGGGGGACTGTGGGGGAAGGGGCCCAACCTCTGAGGCCTCAGTGCTGTGATTCAGGCATTGGACCAGATAGATGACTAAACTGCCCTCCTGTTCCACTAGGATTGTGTGATTCTGGCCCCGTCCCCAAGGAAGGAGAGCCTAGAAAACATGACCCGATTTTTAAACAACATCCCTGCTTTTCGGCAGTCCCTGCCAGTGTGGCCACATCTTGACCACGCAGGCCCCAGTTAGCTGCGTTGTCTCGTCTCCCTGCTTCCTCCTTTGGACCACTTCCCTGCCTGTGGGCAAGTTCGCAGAGGATGGAGAGTGGGGGGGAGGAGGACAGACTGATAACACAGGTTCCTGGGTGGGGATGAGGTTAGAGCACGACCAGTGTGAGTAGGGGCTCCCTCCTTGACAGATGTATGAGCCTCACCCAACCACAGATAGGGTAGGATTGGGGTGAGTCACTGGCATGATGTGCTTTGTCACATGACATCAACAGCATATCACAGGCCAGCTTGTTCAGAACCATCAGGTTGGCAGGGCCGGGACGGAAAAGGCCGACAAAAGGTAGAGTGCTGGGTGGTGTCCGTGGCCCCCCGGCGGTGAAGCACAGGCCCTGCCCTCTCGGCCCCCACCAGTCCCTTCTCTGAGCACACCTCGTGTGAGGGGGGCTTGGGACGCAGCCAGGCCTGGGTCCTCCTGCTGAAATGCTCCCTGTTCCTTCTCTTTTCTGTGAGTGCAGCCAACTCACTCCCTGCGGTGCTTGCCTTGGGGTCTCCCGAATGGGAAGAAGAGGAGGAGGAGATGGCTCTCAGAGCCTCTAAGGAGCTGAGGCCTTTCTCGAACCCTGAGCTGGGGCTGATGGATGCCCTCCAGTGCCTCGAGAGCAGTGACTGGTGAGGAGACGCCTTCTCCCCCTACTGCAAGGGGAGGGGTGGTGGCAGGGGCGCCCCTGGTCTGCAGGGCTCCTCCCTACCTGCCTGTGACGAGGTCTGGAACTCGCTTCTCAGGCAGATGAAGGAGAAGGGCCTGGTGAGCATTCAGCGCCTGGCGGCCTGTCATTCAGATGTCCTTGCTGGGAGGCTGCACGACGTGTCCTTGGCTGTGACGGGGGAGGTGAGGCCACCTAGACAGCTGGGCACTGTCCCCACCCTGCAGCCACTCCCCCTTCCCTGGTGCCCCTGTTCAGTGAGGGTCACATGGTAGCCACGGAGGGGCCGTGGCTCCCTCCCTGCTTATTTCTTAGCCCTCAGCCATGGAGGTGGGAGGTACCCGCCCATTTCTCAGAATGGAAAACTGGGGCCTGGGGTTTCCTTTGTTCTCATCGCTGGGTATTGTAATAATCGGAATCCTGTATGCCCATTTGCCACAGCCCTGTGTTGTTCTCTGTACTCAGATGCCTGAGCAGGGTTGGAGTGTTCTGGGCTAAATCTCCATCTTCAGGGAAGTTAACATTTCCCAAGGACTTTCTCCCCCTGGTACTGGTCCTGGGCCTAGGCTGGGCCTGGAGGAACAGTGGGGCTCCTTTTTGGGAATAGACTATTCCAGTGGTGAGGGCGGGGCAGCTTGTGAAGACCAAATTGAACATTATTTGTAAAGGTACTTTGCTGACTAAGTGTTGCCCAAATTTCAGATGTTCAAATTTCAAATTACAGGTGGAATTAATAATTATGGTGATAACAATAACAGTGTTTTTTAAGAAAATAGGGCTGTTTCGTCCAGAGCTGCTGCAAGGTTTTCGTTTCCAGCCTGGCAAGGCCTGGGCCTGCAATGAGGGTGGAGGTGGTGGGAGAGGGTGGTGCCGTGCCCTATTCTTCGCATGTTCTGGAGCCCTTGGCAGAGTCCAGCGGTCCTGGAGGGTCCCTCTCCCATCTTTCTCCTAGGTCACCAACCTCCGCTCCAAAGTGTCACGCCTGGCCATCAGCACCCTGGGAGACCTCTTCCGGGCCTTGAAGAAGAACATGGACCAGGAGGCCGAGGAGATCACCCGCTGCCTGCTCCAGAAGATGGGGAATACCAGCGAGTTCATCCAGAGAGCGGCCAACCGGTCCCTGGGGGCCATGGTGGAGCATGTGACCCCTGCCCGCTCCCTGGGGGCCCTCACCTCAGCGGGCATCTAGTACGTGCTGGCTCGTTGTGGGAGGGGTGGGTTGGGAAGGTAAGGCGAGGGGAGAGGCCTGGGGATGGGAGGGGAGCAGGCAGATGGGACAGGTGCCTCACACATTTAGCTGGGGGAGGAAGACCCTGCTTCCTGGGGGGTTTCTCTCCCGCCCTTCCTGGGCCAGGCTGGGGATAATGAGGTGAGCTCAGGGCAGCCCTGGGCCTCAGCTGGAAGGGGAGAGCTGCTGTGTTCTGGGGAGATCATAGTGTCCGTGGTAATATCCTGGAGACAGGGCTGAGAGGCAGCCTGCAGCCTGTACCTCTCCCAGGGGAGGGGCATTCTTTCTGATGAAATCTGGGCTGTGAGGAGAGCAAGTCACAAAATGTTACTTCGGCTCACACCTCTTGGCATTTTCCTGGGCGGAGGAAGGTGCTTTCTACCATCGGAGGCTTTCTGCAGCCAGATTTGCTTTCACTTGTGGAACCAAAACTAAAGCAAAACCAAAACCGTTTCCCAAAGCCTTTCTCTCAACCCCAGAGCCGGTCACGACGCTCCTGTAGGAGACTTCTCAGATAGACCGCAGGCTGTGTTGTAGCAGCCATTGCCTTTGGTAATGGCACCATAGCCCAGTACAGAGGGTAAGGGGCTCCAGAGCCGTGTCGCCTGCGTTCACATCCCAGATTGTTACTTAACTTCTCTGTGCCTTGGTTTCCTCATCTGTAAAATGGGGATAATAATGGTATATTCCTCATAAAACAGTGAGGAGTGGATGAATTGATTCATGAAGGAGCACTTAGAACATTGCCTGCCTTTACTAGAACATTTATTGAGTGCCCACTGGGGCTGTTATTAACTTGGGAGAAATTAATTGTACTTTTTTCTGGATTCTTCCCTTAGCCACAGCTTCCTCACAGGCAAAATGATGGTAACAGTGGCTTATGGAGTTGAACCGATAATAGATGGAAGGTGTTCAGCAGGGTGCCTGGCTCAGTGCATGCACTAACTACAAATTGAACCACCCTATCATTGTCGCAGGAACCAGGGTCAGGTGTCCTCGGGGCTGCACACTTGAATTCCCAGGGATCTCGCTAAAATGCAGATTCTGATTCAGATGCTAATGGAGCTGGTCCTTGGACCATAATGAGTAGGGAGAACCCAAAAGACCCCTTTGTGTTACACTGGGATGGGACCCTGGGGGAAATAGGGGTCAGTGCTGCCTAATGAACTGTGGACACACAGGCCCCATTGGAAAAGGTGGGAAAGAAACAAGTGGCACCCTGATGGGCTTCTCTTGTAAGATTTCAGGTTCCTCCTGTTGTGGTTACCAAGTCACCCATTGATCCCCTGTTCCTCCCTCCTGTCTCAATTCATTTCAACAAACGTGCAGTAAGCTCCCACCACGTGTGGGCATGTGCCGGGCACCAGCAGGGCACAGGATTCCACTGAGAGGAAGCTTGGTGCCAGCTCCCTGGGAGCTCCTAGCCTGGTGGGAGAGCCACAGGGGTGTACCTGTACTTCCCAGGGGACAAGGGGATATTCTGCCTAGGGGGCTGGAGAGGGCAGAGATGGAGACGTTGATTGGGTAGGATCTTTCTAGGTGAAGAAAAGATGGGGAAGGCAAACATGGGCTCAGGAAGGCATAGGGGTGGTGAGCCTTCAAAAGACACACCAGTCCAGCTCTCCCCTCCCCTCTGCCAGCCTCCAGCACCTTTGGCAGGGACTGTGGAACAGCATCAGGTGGCTTCAGGTGCTCCTTCTTCCTTCTGTTGTTGCCATTGTCATCCTGGGTTCTATTGTCAGGACGTGGCTGCTCTTTCCTTGAAGATTCCCTATAGCCCGTAGGAGACAGATTTCAGAGCCCATCACAGCATGAAGCATGGGTGCACAGGTGTAGGTCCATGTGTGGCACTCTAGGGACCCCACATCCCATTCCTGTGTGAGCCCTTGACTGTGATTTTATTTCCTTTCAGCCACCGAAACCCCTTAGTCCGGAAATGCACTGCCGAGCACCTCTCAGCCGTCCTGGAGCAGATAGGCGCCGAGAAGCTTCTCTCAGGCACCAGGGACAGCACAGATATGCTGGTGCGCAACTTGGTGAGGCTGGCCCAGGACTCCAACCAGGACACCAGGTGATGCAGGGCGGGGGGCCTGGGGGCTGCTTACCTGGCCAGCCCAGGGCAGATAAGACAACCAGCGAGCCCTGAAGGCCCTGGCCTCCCATAGCTCAGCTTCCCTGGGGTCGGATAGACTGAAGCTGTTTGCTTTCCTCAGGGCTGCTGTCTGTCTCTGTGCACAGGCATAGCCAGGCCTGTAGGAGGGTCCACACTCCCTGCCTCCGGTGCTCCCTCTCTCCTGCTGCCCTCCCTCCCCATCCTGACCCACCCCAGTCCCACTCTCAAAGACCACTGTTCATTCCTTCCAAGGATAGTGAACAGATCATTTTTCATTATTAGGAATAGGGCAATGAATAAGAAAAATTAGGCCTCTGCTGTCCTGGATCTCACCCCTAGTCTGGGTAGGCAGAAAATAAAGAAATTATTATGATTCTTCTAGATATGGATAAAGGATACAGAGGAAAAACACCACGATGTAATGGAGAATGGGGTGGCAGCTACTTTGATTACAAACCTGGGGAGATCTTTCTGAAGGGTGACATTTGAGTTGAGAATGGATGGGCCAGCAGGAGCTAGCTCTTTGGGGGTCTGGGGTGCGAGTGTCCCAGGCAAAGGAAATGGTAGAGAGGCCGTGTGTTAGAGGAAGAAGAAGGCTGGGCTGCAGGGTGCCTGGTGAGGGGGGGGGGCAGTGGGCGGGAGATGAGGCGGACAGGACAGGGCCAGGCCTGGCAGCACCCCACGCGCCATGGCCAGGAGCTGGGATTTGGGCTGGTGTGTGACCGGAAGCCACAGGAGGATTTTTAGTAGGAGTGTGAGGAGATAATTCGATGGTGTTAAACAGGAGAGTGACAGAACCTGATTCACTGTCTTGGAGAGCTAGGGTTAGGGTCCAGTTAATCACACTCCTTGGTTCCTGGGTCTGGTCACCAGATCTGGAGACCACACCAGCTCGGGGACTGCTCCACAGCCGTGTTCTGTGGTGTGCACCAGCCGGTGCCTTCACACCAACAGTCCACGGGTGGGCCCTCCCCACTGCGACAGTGCCCCGCATCACATGCGCACATGGCTCGCTGATGGAGCAGAGAGCTGCTGGGAATGTGCCCTGGGGGCAGGACTGTGGTCAGGGGCATGTGTCCCCTGGCGCAGCCCGAGCACTACAGGGCGCCCGGGAGCACGCTGTGCCCCTCCGCCCCCCACCCATGGTGCCAGTGCCCACGTCCTCGTGACCTTGCATTATCTGGATTTCTAATTTTCATTGATCTCATGGGTAAAAATAACAGCTCATTATTGTGTCAGAGTCTTCTCCCCCACCCCGATTACTAGGGTTTATGTTTCTTTATAGGCTCACTGCCCTTTTGATTTTTAAAAATAGTCTTTCTGGCGGCTCATTGGAGGATTGCTAGGAGAGAGGGAGCAGGATGGACGAGGGGCACCGGACAGAGGGCTGCTCCCCAGTCCCTGACAGGGGTGCTGGAGGCTAGCAGAGGGTGGGGAGAGCTGGATTGGGGTGTCTTTTGAAGGCAGGGCCAACAGGATGTGGGTGGTGAGGCTTTCAAAGAGAAATCAAAGATGATGCTTGGGTTTTTCAGCTGAACAGCTGGGTAAGTGTTAGTGCCAGTCACTGAAATGAGGATTATTGGTGGGGAGCCAGAAGGTTTTGTAGATTTGTTTTTGGTTGTTGGTGGGGGGATGGATCAAGATCTAATATCTCTCCAGCTCGAATGTCCCTCTCCTTTCTGACCTCTCTTCCATTGCAGGAATCGACCACACTCCATTTTCCTTCTTGGCTCCTATGCCTCCCAGTGTCTGTGGCCCTGCACTCCCGGGTTCCGCTCTCCCTCTGTGGCCCCCTCTCTGCCTGCCTGCCACAGTAGTGTCTTCATTCTTGTCCCCCACTTACAACTCTCCCTGACCACTGTCACCACTTCCGTGGCTCCAGCCCGAGCAACTCTGATGCTTCCTAGGGTCTCCCTTCCCTGAGCATCAGTGCTTTACCTCTACCTCCAGAGGGCCTGTCACCAGATGTCCCACTGTTATCCTTGGGGCAGAATGTCCCTCAATGAACCCATTGCCTTCTCCCCAAGCCTTTCTCTGGCTGTGTTCCCTCTATTGTTTTTTTTTAAAAATATAATTTATTGCCAAATTGGCTAACATACAGTATATACAGTGTGCTCCTGGTTTTGGGGGTAAATTCCCGTGATTCATTACTTACATACGACACCCAGTGCTCATCCCAACAAGTGCCCTCCTCAATGCCCACCATCCATTTTCCCCTCTTCCCCCCCCCCCCCCCCCCCCCCCCCCATCAACCCTTAGTTGGTTCTCTGTATTTAAGAATCTCTTATGGTTTGCCTCCCTCCCTCTCTGTTTGTAACTATTCTATTGTTAAAAGTCACTATTATTTACTGAGTCACTGAAGATGCAAAATGGAGACCTTCCTACTTTATTGATTCTAAAACACACAGTTTCCCCCGCATTTTAGTATCTTACAATCAGAGGCGTCTCACCGTTGCTGTTGGCCAGGCAGCAATTTTGATTTGGGTTTTACTATCTGCACATTTGCAAACTTGGTCGTTATTGCTCATAGCATAAACCCTTGAATTACAGTTTGCATTGTAGGAAGTAAACTATGAGGCTTTCTCTGCTTGTTAGCCTTTTATATTTATTTTAAGAAGTCACCGTGGATGCTCTGTGGGGACTTGTTGAGTTTAATTGCTCTCTAAAATGTCTTGGAAATATTACACTCTTATTCGGCACTGAAATGAAAAGTTATAGTGTATGAGAAAAGGTATGGAAATAGAGAGATGGGACATAAATTAGATATTAATGCAAACAGTCATCATGGAAGGAATAACCAAATTCCACATTTTCTTACAAGGCCACCACAAACCAAGTAGTTTACCCAACCTAAGGAGGGAAGGGCACTACCTAAAAGTAACGTTAACTCTGTTTCTGAGATAATACAGAGAAGGGTTGCCTTCCGACATGGGGCAGTGTCATAGAAGGCAGTGGAAATTGCCAGTGTTTTCTGTTACTGTTTTTCCTTAGTGGAAAATAAGTCAATGGTGCATTTTATGATCAGTGGAGTCTTAGGTTGGGTGAAATACGAGAACGGAAGATGCTTTGAGCTCCACCTCCAATCAGCTCCCACACCCTGAAGTTTCAACTTTCTCGGCACGTCCTGAATCTGACCACCCCTCCTTACTCCCACTCTACCGCCTTATTTCAGGACTTCATCATCTCTCGCCCAGACTATTATGGTGGCCTCTTAGCAGGTCCCCTGCCCCCCTCCCCCCTGCCTTGTCCACAGAGACGCATCCTCCACACTGCTGCCAGAGACATATCGACTTCAGTGCAATTCTGATCATTCTTCAGCTTCCCACTGCACGCAGGTTAAAGCCCAACTCCTTCATGTTTTGAGAAATTGGGTCGTACCTTCTCTGTATTCTATCCTGCATCTAGGTCTTGCCTGCTGTTTTCCAACCACAAGCCTGCTGACATGTCAGACCGTATAATGGATCCTAGAATGACGCCCCTCCACCACCCTCTTACCCCCTAATCCGTCTCACTCTTGAACTCCTACTCATCTTTTGTGTCCCAATCTAAGGGTCACCTCTTCTATGAAGTCTTCCTTGATTCCCCGCCCCCTCCACCCAGCACTGTTCACCAGGTAGAGCTGACCACTTCCTCCCATACTGCCCCACTGCACCCTTCCTCAGATTTCTAGATGCCCCATACTAGAAAAAGTTAAGTACGTTTCAGTATAGTCATCCAAAGGAATATTATGAATGCACTAAAAAGGATGACATGGGAAGATGATTAATGATAAAGTGAAAAAAGCCAGAGGCAAGTTGTATATACATTCTGATAGCAAAGAAAATGTATACGCGTCAAAAAGACTACACGGAAATATGTAAAAATTTAATAGTAGTTTTCTCTTGGTAATGGGGCTTTGGGTGATGTTTATTCTTTTATGAATCTAGTTTTTAACTGCTCAATTAGCGATTCCTGTCTTCATGAGAAAAAGTATTAAAAACTCTGTTACTACAATTAGAAAACTTACGCAAATCTGTAAAGCAGATTTATGATGCATTTCTATGGCTATTTTTTCATCCCTTTCTTTCTCCTGTGGCAGGTTTTATGGCCGGAAGATGGTGAATATCTTGATGTCGAACACGAAGTTTGATGCATTTCTGAAGCAGAGCCTCCCGTCCCATGACCTGCGGAAGGTCATGGCTGCCATTAAGCAGCGGGTGAGTCGGGGGCATGAGCAGGTCAGGGTGGAGATCAGAGCTGGGCCGGTCAGGGGAGTGTGCACTCCAGAGGCTTCCATTTCACTCACAACCCCTGCTTGGTGGGATAAATGTGATTTCCTTGCTCTGTGCTCGGACCTGGTTGTGCTCCTCTCTGCCTGTGTCCCTTGAGTTGCTGGGCGTCCACACTGTCTCCTGTTAAGTGAGGATCTTGACCCCTGCCCTGACTACCAGGGCTCCGGAAGGCTCAGCTGTTCCCTCCGAAGCTCTGCCAGGTCGAAGGGGTTATTCCTTTCCTTATGGTGTAGCCTGGAGTGGCCGGCAGTTCCCCAGAGGGCCACCCCTTTGGTTCATGTTCTGTGTGCATTTTTCAAGGGAATAGAAGACAGTGATGGACTTTCATCTGCCAAGGGCCGCAAGGTGTCAAGGAGTCTGGTGCTGTGTGAGAACGGGCTGCCCGGCGAGGATGGGTATGGCTGCGCCTGTCTCCCTGCAGCTTTCATCGAAGGCTGACGACACAGACGTCCTGCTTGCCCTGGGCCAGGGGTGGCTCTGGGAGTCTGTGTGGATCTGGGCTACGGTGGAGACCTAGTTGGGTCTGCAGCACTCATGGGTGAATTTATAGGAGGTGTTCCCCCACCCAAATCTCAGGGAGACCACATCATGGGACCAGAAGCACTTGCCAGTAGAAGTTGGCCACTGCAGTCTTGCCGAGTGGGGTGCAGTTCCGCTCGTACAGGCGGGGCATGTTGCTGGCCAGGCCCTTAGATCAGCACACCCTTTTGCCATCAGGGTGCCCAGCCTGGGACAAATTTAGAGGCAGAGCTGGGAGGAAGGTAGATGAGAGGGAATGGGCGGAGAGGCGGAGGGTGGGTAGGTGCTGGGAGGAGCCGAAACCAAGCAGAAACCTCCTGATCACTGATGTGCCTGAAACTCAAACTTCTTGTGTGGTGTCGGGGAGGGATCATATCTGAACTCCTTAGCAGGCGCCCAGGAAAGCCTCTGTCACCTCTTTAAGATTAGCTTCCTGCTCTCTCCTACACACAGCCTCTCAGCCAGACAGGAGCAGCTCATGTTCCCTGCCCATCCCCCTTCCCCACCATCCTATCTCCTACTGAGCCTTTCTTTGCTTATGCTGAGCCACCTGCATCTAGAACATGCCTGTTTATTCTGCAAGACTCCACAAGATTCGGATCACTGTCACTGTCTCCCCGAGGCTCTCTCTGTGCCCTCTGTTCTTCAGTACTCTGTCAGCCGGTTGACCCACCTGTCTCCCATTGGTCTGTGAGCTCCTTAAGGCAAAGGGCGTGTCTTTCACGTCCCTCTTCTCGGTGGCCAGTACAGCTCCTGGCACTCAGTGGGCAAACAGTGTGGAGTGTAGGACTGAATGACAGAATGGATGGTGTTGGGCTCTTTCAGAGGGGACTTGGGTGCAGGGCATGAGCTCAGAGAGCCGGGTTCTGAGCTAGGGTGGGGGATAGGAGTCCTGTTTGGAACTGCTCTCATACTGGCTGCACTGGATCAGGGGATACTATAGCTATGTGCCCCCACAATGATAGAACAGGGAGTCTTAACATTTCCTTGGTCACTGGAGAAGGGCAGGGCCTAGGCAACCAGGGCTCAGGACACAGTCAGCTGGCAAGACCTTTCCTCACTCCTACATTAAATGTGCAGTCATTCTTTCGTGGACTCCCACTTCTCGCTCTGATACCCACCCCCCATTCTTCACATGTTTTCTGAAAAGAGAAAAAAAGGCAGGAAGAAAGAGCCCTGTCCCCTGATGAAAGGATGGGGCTCTAGGCAACCCGATTGTTGTCCCCTGAGGAAAAGGCATTTCCAGAGTTCTGGGGCCAGTGTCCTGAAGCAGCGGGTGGAAAGCTGGGGGTGGACTGCGCTGCAGGTGACACTCCTGTCTCAGTTCCACCTGTCTGGAAGGGGTATGGGACAAGAGGTGCATCCATCTTCTGGGGCTTGCCCAGGTCAGAAGTTCCTTCTGCGTAGGCTCAGTTCCAATGGCCCTCGGCTGGCAGGGCTACGGCCCTCCATGCACAGTGGCCCGGAGGTGGTGGAATGGCTTCGGGAGCTGACGCGACTGCTGGAGGCCAGAGAATACCAGTCTCGGATGGAGGGCGTGGGGCGGCTCCTGGAGCGCTGCAAGGCTGAGCCAGAGCTCATCACCGCCAACCTGGTCCAGGTGAGCGCTGCCCCTTCCCTGCTGTCTCACCTGGCTGTCCCCTGTGGGTGCAAATTCAATTTGGAAAACTCAGGACAGGGTTTGACATTGTGCCAGACCCCTCAGGGTAAAGGGAGCCCGAAAAGTACCTGCTATCCAGTTGCCTTGGTAACACTGTGGGACTGCCTGGAAGTAGCCAAGGGGGCAAGGGCATCACCTCTTGCCAGGCCCCTTGGGACCACCCAGAGATGTCCTGGCATCTCTCATCCCTCTAGCAGCTTTATAGCGGGGTGGCGGAGGGGGGGGGCGGGGGGGGGTCGGGGGGGAAGCTAGAGGTAGAGGATGCCACGGCTGAAGGCTGCTCCTGGTCTAGCCAGGCACATGATGTTTGGGGGCAGAGTATGTGTTGGCCAGGGGACTGGCCATGATGGCTGGACAGGTGGGTTAGGAGCAAGCACAGGCCTTTCACAGGCTGGAAACAGGGGCAGATGTTTGCTTCTTCCAGGACTGAGGCTGCTGATGGTCAAGCCATGTAGCAGAGTACTTAGGGCACAGGCTTGAAGTCAGCAGCCTCGCTGTGTGATCTGGGGAAAGTCAGTGAACCTTTTTCTGCCTCAGTTTTTGTTTTGTTTTTAATAGTAAACTGAGGATGGGAACGCATGCCTCATCGGTTTGGATCGTTCCGTGAGAGTGCAGGGTACCTAACGGGATGCTCTAGATGCTTTGACGCAATGAGTGCTCAATATACAGTTGTTCTTCCCCTCTTCCCCTCTTTCCCTTTTGAGGAAGTAAGCTCCTCGTCACTGAGAATGTTCTGGTGTAGTTTGGATGACCAGGAAGGCAGGAGGAATCCCTGCCAAGGGTGGTTGGTTGGGTTGTGGGCCTCCTGCCCAGCCTGGGTTCCCATGGGCTCTTGGTTTCTGTTTCCTCAATAGGTCTTTGATGCTTTCACCCCAAGGCTTCAGGACTCCAACAAGAAAGTGAACCAGTGGGCCCTGGAGTCCCTTGCCAAGATGATCCCCCTCCTCAAAGCAAGCTTACACCCTATGCTGCTCTCCATCATCATCGCTGTTGCAGACAACCTCAACTCCAAGAACTCGGGGATTTATACCGCCGCCACGGCTGCGCTGGACGCCATGATTCAGAACCTGGGTAAGCCTCCTGCCACAGCCCTGCTTGGCTCCATTATGCAGTGGGCTCGCTCCCTGAGCCCTCCCTGGGGTGGGCTCACCCTTCCTGCTGGGAATCAGCAGAGTGCTAACAGACACTGGGGCTTTCAGGCCAAATGTTTCCCCGGAGGCTATAGAGGACGGGGGTGGACAGCCCAGGACATGGTTGGCAGGCTTTTCCATGTCACAGCCACCTGAGGGTCCTCGATGGTAGGAGTGGAAGAGATGTGGAGATGATCTAGTCTTGCCTCCTCATAGTACATGTGACAGAAATGACTCAGCCAGGGTCACACAATACTGAAGTGATTGAGCCAACAGGGCATGGAAGGAAAAATAGGTCAGGGTTACCAGGAAGAAGCTGGAAACAGTGTAGAGATGGTAACAGTGGGTGTGGCTTGTACGAGGACCAGGCCGGATGGCGGTGAGAGAGCAGAGCAAGTCTGCTGGGGAGGACAAAGTAGATGGGTGAGTGGACCCAGGTAGGCCACCTTGATTGTCTGATACAGGAGTCAGGCTGGGATCCCACTGGCTTTTGAGCATGGGATGGACAAGCATTACCTTTGAGAAAGACTGTTCGGGGCCAGGGCTCAGGGAAGGAGGAATTTGGGATGAGGGGTGGAGGGTGATGGGGGAGTGGAGGTGGGGGGTGGGATGAAAAGGAAAAGGGGGGGGCAATGG